CCAGGTTACTTTTGACCAATAAAGTATTGCTTATAGATTCCATGTATGACATAGATTTTTCTGGGGGTGTTACTCATATATCAACAACCATTTCCATTTCCCCCAAAATTATCATCCCTTAAAGTAGAATAAATATCAGAAGGCAGAGGTGTAAAGCAAGACAGCAGGATGAAACATGATATTCAGGGTCCTCTTGATTGTGAGGCTGAAGCCAAAGGATGCTCCTTTTACACCATCTACTTTGTGTTTCATTATGTGCAGCAATAACTGACCAGTTTATCTAGAGAGACATAGGCTGTGATGATAGCTATGGAGGTGAAATGCAATTGAATCCCTGTGATGCTTTGTTTTTTCACTGACATTGCAGGTCTAAGGCCAGTGGTCTGATTATGGGTTCAGAGGACAGTAATTTGCAGTGACACATCTGGAGAGATCTCCTTCTGAGGATTGCAGCCACTGTTGGTTCCCTATGGTCTTGTTCTGGAAGCCCTATACCATTTAAATTATTTTCTTGGGTTGGCTTTTATTCTCTTTTGTTTTGTTTGATTTTGTGAAATCGATGGCAGGTGCAGCTATTTCAAAGATAATGAGATGTATTATGGCAGGAATTTAGAATTTACTGTTGGCTTGTTTTGAAGTTCTTTGTTGCACTCATTATTTTGTTTTATTGCTTATATCCTGTTCTGCTCTCTTTGATTTTTATTATATTCAAGGTTATCTGCGGCTATTTTGATGACTTCAAGGGGGATTGTGGTAACTATTATGATTTTGTAGTGTTTTGATGTCCTGTGTCTCTTAAACAAGTTTGTTTTGATTGGTTATATTCTATTTTATCCTCTTTAGAATAAATAAAATAAAATAAAATAATCATTCCTGGATAAAAAGTGTGAGATGCAGCATAGGAAGCCCTGAGAAACTAAAAAGCAAGTAGAGGACACAGAAGAAACATTTACCCATGTCCTTTCTCCTGTTATGAAACAAAGCCTTGATTTGAAACACAGAGTATGTTTTATGTCACCTGAAGACAGAAGAGGGCCACATTCCCTATTTTCAGTCTTTCTAGTTTGCTTCCAAGCTCCTCACACCACTGCACCTATTGGGGGATTTGCATAGTGGCCTCTGAGAGGCCTTTCCCTTGAAAATTTGGGATAAATCCTCTGCTCTCACCTTGTCTGGACTTACAAGGACTCCTGAGTTTAATTTCTCACAATGAGGCTCCCTGCTCCACCTCTGGGGCTGCTGATGCTCTGTGTCTCAGGTAAGGAAAGAGACAAACGAGGACAGAGAGGAGATGGCTGGGGAGGTTGGCAGCCTACCTGTGTCCAATATGTACTGGGTTCCTGTGTGAAGTGGCAGGTCTTTCTCTTCAGTATAGGGAACTGATTTATTACATCCTACAATTAAAAAAGATTCCACAAGATCAGAGACCTGCTTCACAGTGTGGGTTGTCACATAAAAAGAGGGGGAATGGTATTGGAAAATTCTAGATTCCCTTTGTTCACTTGTGAATGTTAAATTCCATCTAACATTTGACCATTTTCATTTTAGGAGTTAAATTAAAAAGTCATATAGCCTGAAATGCACAGAAAATTAACTGTGAAAAAGATAGTAGTGTTTGTGCATAACCTTGCAGTTTTCTTTGTTTCAGGATCCAGTGGGGCTGCTGTGATAACTCAAGCTCCACTGTCCCTAGCGGTCGCTGCTGCAGAGTCAGCCTCCATCTCCTGCAGGTCTACTCAGAACCTCCTAGGTAGTAAGGGAACACTTACTTGTTTTGGTTCCTACAGACCCAGGCCAGTCTCCAAAACGCTTGATCTATTTCAATTCCAAATGAGATTCTGGGATCCCAGACAGGTTCAGTGGTACTGAATCAGGGACAGATTTCACCCTGGAAAACAGCAGAGTGGATGCTGAGGATGCTGGAGTCTATTACTGCCTGCAAAGTGAGTATGCTCCTTCCACAGTGATATGGCTCCAAACACAAACCTTCCTGCCTGGGGAGGCCCAGCTGCCAGCTGTGTTGCTTCTCTGGAGAGCAGCGCACCACATGCTCCAAGTCTGTGAGAGATGCAGGTGCTGGAGATCTCAGGGGAACACATTGCTGCACTGAGGGTTCTGCTTGTCTCCACTGCAGCTCAGGGAATTCAGGCTGAGCTACATCAATTGTGGCAAGGAATAAACAACAGGCAGGGTAAGGGGTGATCACTCACCCTCTGAACCTGGAGACGTTTTGGAAGAGACATATACACAAAGAATTGTCCTAGTGTTCTCTGCCTCAGTGCTTTGTCAACTTGGTTCAGATTTGCAGCCACACAATGAAAGATGATTTTGAGGAAAAAGACAGACACTATGGCAACTACTATTCTTTAAAAAATTATTTAGCTATTTCTTATGTTTATTTTAATTAAGGGAAAAATTTAAAAAATTAGGATATATAATAGTAACTCTTTTCGATCTCCTATTAACTTGTTTTGAAGTCCTGTAATACACCCACGATCTTGTTTTGACTGATTAGACTCTGTTTCATTCTGTGCGATAGTAGCAAGTCTGAGGGTATAGGCAACTAATTTGAAGGCAATAAGATTCACAAAGATGCCCATTCTGGTTTGACTATTGTCTCCTTTGGAAGTCCTGTAATGTTCACAATGCCTAAGTTTTATTGGTCTTGTTCTCTACTGTTTTGTCCAACTTTATAATATCTAATGAGATAGACAATTCCATTTAAGGAAACAAGAGACAACGTTGATAACCATTTTTAATAACCTTGTACTCTGTTCTACATCATGTGCTATGTCTATCCTTGGTTTTGACTTACAGCTTTGTTTTGCCATATTTGACTTTATTCTCTCCCCCCCAAAAAAAAGTAATAAGAACTAAGGAGTAATAAAATCCAAAATGTGTAATTTTGTTGTAAAAAAGAGAGGGAGGAAAAAAAAAAAAAAGAGCTCTAACGGATATAACAGCAAGTGTGTTTAGGGGTGTTAAATAGCTGACTATATTAATGTTTTTGGATCATTGAACACAGCTGTTTGCAGTCTCTCTGTTTGAATGTCTACTTTGTATTCTTTGATACTGTGATTTGAGCAGCTATTTCCAAGATGATAATGTGTAGTCTATTAATGGGTGATTTCTTACTGTTATGTTTTTTTTTTTGTAGTTCTGTATTATGTGTAACCTTACACTGCTTTGTTTTGTTTTGTGTTTTTCTCTTTTTCCTCTTAAATAAAAAATAAATAAATAAATAAATAAATAAATAAAAAAGAAAGATGATTTTGGGGAAAATATAACTATTATATATTTTTCGCTTTTATTTACGTGTTTTACTTGCTATCATACATGCACAAGATTAGTTTGATGCTCTGAAGATGCTTTCTCTCCCTATCCCTGACTTCACACTTTTTTTTTTTCTCTGCATGTGTTCCTCTTCTGTGCAGAGTCAGGCACAACACTTTACACTATTCACCTGGAAAAGAGCAGCATGATGTCAAGGGCTCCTGTCTTATCCAACCTCTAAGGCACCTGCCAAATCTCAACTGCATTGTCTTCCCAAGCGGAGTCCCTCAGCTGAGGCCACATCTGAATCTCTTTTAAACCTCAAATTTGGAAGATTTCAAATGAGAAAAAAAGAGATAAAATTCTCGACTGAAAAGCCCATTATCCCTTTAAAATTTTAGGGTTTCTTCTCAATTTTTCTCCTGTGGTTCTTGAATATTGTTATGCGCTTGTTTTAAACTGATTATTTTTGTGATACTTGTGTTCATCTTTGCTTTTATATTTCTGATGTAAAATTCCCCAGGTGACACCTGGGTGACCAAGTCTCCATAATTCTTGGAAGAGACAGTGTCAGTTTAACTAGCCAGGCCCATGGTTTAGCTTATTACCATCAGGAGCCAGAGAAACTGCCTATTTCAGAGATCTAAGCTGAAATCAGGTTGTAACCCAGGTCCCATCAACATGCAATGCCTGGGTATCGAGGACAGGCTTCACTTTCAGCATCAGCAACCTGGAATCCAAAGTTTTGGGACCTAATTTGTCAACAGTGAAGCAATGGCTGTCACAGCGATACAGGTCACAATACAAAATACCCAGGGAAGCAGAAATGTGATACGGAACTGTCCCAGCAGGTTTTCCTAATGCGTCTCTAGGTTGAGAGCTTTTCTCAGATGCTGGAAAGGTACACCTAAAGCATGTGGATTGCAGATCAGTTGTGATTTACATAGCAAGAGAAAAGACACTGCTGATATTCCAAATAGAATTCTTTTAAATAAAGGCAGGAGAGAATAGGAAGAAAAATTTTTGGATATGGAGAACAAAAATGTATGAACGAATGATCCTGCTTGTTTCTTATAGCTAGAAATATTTCACTTTAATTAAAACTGTAGCTTGCAACAAATAAACTACAAGATCCAACCTGTTAGGATTGTAATATACTCTGTAAAAAGGAAGCAGCATTGATACATGGTCAATAGTTTAATTTAAGAAGAACTGACAGAAACCTGGTGTCTCCTTGTCTTTTCAGTCTATGGTTTTGCTATCAACTAAAGCACCAATCACAACTGATCTGTGTGATTATAATTTTTTTGCATTATGAAATTATCAGGATACAAAAATGATGCAATTTATCCTGTCCAGATCCTGTCTTACATTGAGGCTTTCAAGAACAAATGCAAAGTTATGTTAAGGAAACACATTCAGAGACAGTCATCCATAAATTGTTATCCAATATTTCTAAATTCAGCTTTTTCCCAAATCTTTATAAAGCAATATTGTTTTGTGATTTTCTTGGTAATAAATTCCTTGAGTTACATTTATAACTTAGGAGGAGAGATGTGTGAAGGGAATTGATGCCTTAAGATGTACGTGTTTTGTTTTCACTTGTGTAGAAAAGTTTTGCCATAATCAAGATGTTTTAAGAAATGAGAGTTCAAATGCAGTGTTTGTGATGGACAGCCACTAGCACAGATGAGGTTGGAGTAGCCCATTAGCTCGTGAAACCCATGATGCCCCAAGAGGTTGAAATGGGAAGAAGAGCTGCAGACAGCGATATGCACTGTGTTCCTACTGGGTGCTGTCAGGTGGTTCACGGATTCGATGGTCTTATGACTCATGATGGTTAATCTGATCCCTGCTTGAAGCTGGTGTTTGCCAGAGGTTTCCCTACAAATTCAGTATGATTTTTCTTTAAAATAATTAATATCTTCTTTGATATTTTATAAACATATGCTAATTAAAATATAAAATCATGCATTATTATTTTATTGAAAGTTTAAGTTTCTATCCTAATTCATTTTCATTGTCAGAATTTTTCAGACTCATCCACCAGAGCCTAAGTCACGCTGTTTTCTGTTGCCTGTCACTTTCAGCCCATAATCTTCTGACCTTATTTTTGGTTTCTAGTTTGATGATCCAGGCTCATCTCATTTTAGTTTTCTGTTTTCTGCACCAGAAATCTGTCATTTCTTTAATAATTATTGGTTCCTTTTAGTATACATGAACATTCAAAAGAAAAAGATCTAGTTTTTGCAAAAAAAAAAAAGAATCAAACAGAATGGGCTGGGGCACTATAAGTGAGTCCAGTCACCAGCAGTGAATCAACTCTGATTTCAGTTTAAACACAGCTTGCAAGCAGCAAGTAGAAGGCAGATGTTAGGTTACTACATGATGTGTTATGTGAGTTGTATTAAGTGACATAATGTGAGGCTGGCTAATTCTAAATACATTTACGTACAAGGAATTATTTACCACAATGTAGGAACATCCTGAGGATGAGGAGAGGAGGCTCAAGCAAAGCAAGCAAAGCTAAAGGTGTCCTTTACTGGGTCACTTTGTCCCAAAGAAAGTCACTGAAGCTAGATAGGAACAAAATATATTCTTTTAACAAAAAAAAAAAAAAAAACAAGCAAAAAACACACATACAAGCTGGAAATGGTCAAATTGATCCAGGGCATTATCAGGAGAAAAGCAACTGGACTCAGATGGTCAAGGATGGCTGAATTTATCAGGGTGCTTGCATGAAAAGCAGCAGTAGCATAGGCAGAGACAAGTATTTAATTTTTAATTTGCTGTCACATATCCATAAGTTTACTATTTTAAACTGTGCCTTTACTATTTATATAACTGTGCCCTTTCGTGTGCACTAAAAATGTCCATTGTTACTTGTATGCCATTGATTCTAGAGAAAATAATTAGTGTGTTTATATACTTTCCAATCTACATCTTTATCTTTGATTGTAATCTAAAGCCACAGAACATTTTTTCCCGAGTGTTTTCCTTTTTACACTTGTGATTTTTCAACAGAGAAATTATTTGGCTTCAAATTTAATGTCTTAATTAACTCCTCCATAAAACCAATATAATTCTTTCCCAGTCTCCTATATTCTGTGTAGACATCACCCCTCTAGTGCCCATTCACTTGCATTAGATTAATATAACCTGAGAGTCCACTATAAATTTTGCTCCATTCCTATGTTATCTAGGCCTGTGTGGGCTTCAACAATGTGGCAGTGACTTCCACCCAGGTGAGTGTTTTGTTCATTCTTCACCTGATGAGACATTCTGCACAAGTGGAGAGAGGATGCCCCCATCCCTGAGATTTCATGTGGGGTCACTGCTTCCACTACACTGTTGCTTCAATACCCTAGAGTCCTCATTCTGCTGTATCTTCTTACACTACTTCTCAGGTCCCGTGGTCTTCTATGCCCTGTGTCCCAGCCTGCAGTCTCTCATTATGTTTCTGGGTTTTTTCCTTCTGATTCTCCATGATTCACATGTCCTAAACCATGTCATAAAGAGCTGCTGCCTCTTGGGATATAGAAGGGATGGGCAATGTATCAATAAGAAGATTAGAAGCCTGGTAGATTGAAGGGCAGAGTTGAGCCATTTTGTCTGGAGAACAGATGGTGTTTTGAAGTGGAAAACGTTGGGTCAAGAGCAAGAGGATGTCTGAATAGAATTCTAAGAAACACCCAACCTGTAATTCCAAAGTCTTATAGAGTTGAAAGTGTCACTGAGTTTTTTCACAGTTGGGCAGAGAAAATCCCTCATGCTGGTGGGCTTGAAGTGATGGGAAGAATCATGCACACATGGAAGATAGCAGTCACTTGTTTGAGGAAGACAGATCAGTAATCAGAGATGCTCTCTAGATGGGTCCTGTTTTCAGATTCAACAATATTTCTCAAGTGACGGTAAATATTAGCGTTTTCCTTTGTATTTTTTTTTTTTAATTTTAGGTCCCTCTCCTCCATGCTCTTCAGATCCTTCTCTCCTTCTTCCCTCTCTGTCCCTCTCTCTTTCCCTTTCTCTGCCTATCTCTCAATCTCAATCTTTGTCACATCTCTGAACTATAAAAGTAGTGACTAATCCACCAATGGTATCAAGGCATCAGGCTATATAAGTCATCTGATATGGATAATATCAAATGCAGGCGATTTGTAAACTTTATTTTAGTTTCTTGAGTTGTACTTCCCTTGTACACAGTTTTAAATGAAAGCTAACATGAAAAACATTTCCTGCATCATGAAGGAAATAAAATGGAAAAATTTTAGGCTCTGTGTCTCTTTCCTGTTACACCAGTGAAAGACTAAGAAAGATTGCAAGTTTGAACTCTGTCTGGTGAAATTAGTCAAATTCTATCTTCAAATTATAAATGGAATCGAGACATAGCTGGATAGTAGAATGTCCCTCTGACTGATCCCCATCACCAAGAAAGAAAGAAAGAAAGAAAGAAAGAAAGAAAGAAAGAAAGAAAGAAAGAAAGAAAGAAAGAGAAAGACAGAAATGGAAAGGAAAAGGAAAGGAAAGGAAAGGAAAGGAAAGGAAAGGAAAGGAAAGGAAAGGAAAGGAAAGGAAAGGAAAGGAAAGGAAGGAAGAAAAGGGAAGGGAAGAGAAGAGAAGGGAAAGAAAAGAACAGCAAACAATCTTTTCTGTGGCATAGCAGAAAAGAACACACTCTCTGAAAGAAAAACGTGCTGCCCTGCTCTGACCTAAGACATCTAGGGACACTGGGTCTGTGATGAGTTACTGAGGACCAGCCAGCTCTACAGCTGTGCCCAGCTCCACCCAGCCCCGCTGATTTGCATGTATCCAAAGCACAGCCCACTGTCTCCATAGGCTGCTCACATCCTGTGCAGGAGTCAGTCTGTATTAGTACACAGCAGAGACACGAGGGTCCCCACTCAGCTCCTGGGGCTCCTGTTGCTCTGGCTCTCAGGTAAGGATGGGCAGCACTTGGGATTTACTCATTAATGAATGATAAGAACCACAAGAAACTTGAGGGAAGTTCTTCCATCACATGATTGTTGATGTAAATATTTGTTCTTGTGTTTCCAATGTCAGACAGCAGATGTGACATCCAGATGACTCAGTCTCCATCTTCCTGGTCTGCATCTCTTGGAGACAGAGTTGCCATCATTTGCACAGCCAGTCAGAATATTTACAGCTACTTGTCCTGGTATCAACAGAAACCAGACGAACCTCTCAAGCTCTTGATCTACGTTGCAAGCAATTTGGCATCTGTGATCCAATCGAGGTTCAGTGGCAGCAGATCTGGGACAGATGTTGCCCTTACCATCAGCAGTGTGGAGGCTGAAGATGTTGCAACTTATTACTGTCAGCAGCATTACAGAACCCCTCCCACAGTGATACAAGCCATAGCAAAAACCACACAGGGAAGCGGATGTGTGAGGCTGGGCTGTCCCAGCTGCTCTTCTTGTTGTCTGCACCTTTGAAGAGGGTCTCTTAGAGGTAGCTTGGGTTTGAAATTCCCTGGGGAAGAGTAAGAAGGAGCCAGGAAAGCTACCTTGCACCCTAATTCTCTTTTCTCCTCCTTAGCCTCAGCAGTACAGGCATGACAATGCCTCTCTTCATTTAATCAAGGACACAGGTGTATTAGATATTACAAAAAGGAATTTTATCTTTTAAAAGCAAGCAATGAATGTCAAAATGCAGCCTTTCTAATGTGTGGAATTACAGTTGTTAAAGATGCATTTGTTAAGAGAAAGCAATAATAGAAAAAGCAAAAACAGGGCCTACAAATGAAAGTTTCTCTGGTTCTCACTAAGAACGAAGATCGCATTAGCCAACATAATCTAAAGAGTAATTTGAACTAATGGAGGTGATTTGAGCCAATAGCGTGGTGAAAATCTAGGAGAAATGATTGTTATAGAGATAGATGTTGGAAATGCATTGCTTTCTGCTGCTCCTCCAGTTGCCACAGCACATCTTCAGCCACAATTATGGGCTCTCTGACCTTGTGGTCCGCAGCTCTGTCTGGGGATCCTAGGCTTAAGGGTTCTGGTAGTGTTCGCTGCCTGTAGCACTTCCCCAGGTGGTTTCCACTGCCCACTTCTGCCACAAGTGTGCTTGCACATGCAGTGGACCAGCTCCAGCTGTTCACTGTGACTTTCTTGCCACTCATTGTGCATCTCCATAGGAAACTAGTCCAAGAAAATGCTCCAAGACACTAGCTTCAAAAGTGCCAATGATGACATAAAGTTATCAGAGAACATCCCAACTCACAGAATTTTCTCTCTCTCAGGTAGGTCCAGAGGCAACAGTATTTCCTTATGTGCTTCTAAAAATCATCTGCAATTTGGCATCATAGCAATAAAATTTTATAAATTGTGGATTCCATTTAAGATAATTTGCATGAAATATACATGAGTCATTTGGCAAGCAAATGAAAAAGCATTTTTATGGAATATGAAGCAGATCAAACCAAACATAGATATCATGTTATTTTCATTATTACTCAAAATTTATATAGAATTCAACAGCCTCCTTAGCATTACTGAAGTCACATTATCCTGTATGAAAATATGAACTAATACATGTAAAGCAACAGAAACAACTTAGATATACTGAGTATGAATCTGCATTTTAATAAGTTAATACATGACCTACATAAATTTTAAGAAACTGTGTTTGAGAGATCTATACATCCCTTGAAGATATATTTTATATCCTCAGTGAATCCATTAAAGGCAGTATTTATTTACAGCCACATGTCATAAACTTTTCTGTTGCTATAAAAGAATATCTGAAATCCTGGAAATTTCCCAGATACCCAAAACTATCAGCAGTGTCTCACCAGAGAGGGGAACCCAATAACAGTGTAGCATCCAGCAGTCTTGTCACCCTTGACCTCAGCATAAGTGATAAGGAGAACCCTATGCAAGTGTAAGAAGTCGGTTTATGGCAATCCCCTAAGACCACACATCTGCCACAGTGTATGTGGACCCCACCCCTAATAGTCCTCTACTTGTTATAATAAAAAAGTCATCAAAAGAGAAGATGACACTTATGCAGCAAAGAAAGTCTAAAATCTAACAAATTCAGAAACAAAGGGCATAAAACAGTCCTTCCCTTCCTTCTCTCACTTCATCCTAGCCCACCATGATAAGTAGTTCTCCTACATTATGTCCATGCTCAGCTCTTTTGTGCTTTGGAGCCAGCTAACTGTGGACTGAAACTCTTGAAAACCATGGACCCAAATGAAATTCTCCTCCTTTAAGCTGGGGGTGTTGGGCTTTTTGTCCCAGCAATGAGAAAGTCACTAAGACACAGATGTCGCTAAGCCATAGAATGTTTGTTTTGCATGGACTGGCCTTGGGTTCAAACCCTTGTACCGGGAACCCAAAGAAGTTGCAATTTATTACTGTCAGCAGTTTAATAGTTCCCCTCCTACAGTGATACAAGCCACAACAAAAACCATCCAGAGAAGCAGAAGTGTGAGGCCGGGCTGCCCCAGCTGCTCTTCCTGTTATCTCCATCTACTGAGAGTTTCTCAGATGGAGTCAACATTTGAAGGTTACAGGGAGATTTTGGTAGAAGGCAACCTTTTTTCTCCACTTCAGCCCCAACAACACCCATCTGATAATTCCTTTTTTCTGATTTAATAAACAGCAGAGATTATCACACATCTACATTATTTTGTTATAGACTCGGGGTTCTTGATTTAGTGTCTTAACCTGATTGAGGGGGCATATAATTTTAAAAAGCATGTCTGTAACTGTATGTGTAAGGCTGTTTACGCAAGAGTGGTGTGTGATTCAGCAAACTGAGTGAGAAAAGCCTTCCATCATGATAACCAGCATCATCAAATAGGCTGACAAAGCAAGAGAAATAGGGACCCTTTATCTCTTTCTCTGTATTTTACTCTTCTTGAGAGGGTACACCTTTTGTTGCCAGTGATCTTATACACCAAACTAGAAGTTTTTATACCTTTGAACTTAAATTTGAGCTGATTGGCCTCTGTTTTGGTCCTCTGGCTTTATGAGGCTTTCAAATTGAATGGAGTCCAAATCAGCTGCTACTGACTTTCTTGACCCTTCAGCCTACAGCCAGATAACCTAGACCTTGATAGCTTCTATAAGGCTCTGAGACGATGTAATAAATTCACTCACATATGCAAATTCATATTACATTGTCTCTTCTTTTTGTGGGAAAGAACATCTAGCACAAATATCACTCACACTTGCACAGCATTATAGATATGGGAATCGGGACTTTAAAATACAGAATATTAAACTCCACAGGGTGTGCTAGTCAGAGAAGCTAACAGTAGAATACAGAGTGTATCTTCTACCCCCTTCTTGCCTTAGGAATCTAGCAGTGATCGAGAGAATGCTGTCAGCCAACTGGAGGACATTGTAGGAGATGCTTCAGTTTTCACCTCTTTCTGTCTGTCTCCCTGCAATGGTCAACAAATATTGAAACCTCATTTTTTGACTTAAAAAGACCTCATGAGAAGCCTTCTCATTGCCTAAATTGTTGGAAAATATAAAGTGAAAAATCATTTTGAGAAACATGCTTCTAGAAGTAAGTAACAGGTAGTTAAGATCTGACCCTTCAATATTATTACTACTTTCACTCAGTATCTCTTGCTTGTTACAAAAATGCTTCAAAATGTATCTTAATATGCATTAAAGTTGCATACATAAATCTAGGATCCCAGCAGGAAAACTTCAAGAAAAGAATATATGGTAAGCATGAGAGTGTTACATGAATTAAAAAGCAAACATTTGAAAAGTGAAAATTCTTACTTTAAATAACAAAATAAAGCAACAAAACACTGAACAGGCACAGACTAATTTTTAATAGGAAAGTGTCTTGCTTGTCAAAATTTGTACATGATACAAATGCAAAAACACTGAACCTCCCTGTATAGTGCATGAAAATCTACATTTTAACAATATAACAGTAATGCACAGGATCTTTTAAACCTGTACTTTAGGGGATGCTTTTTTCTGCTACATATTGTTAACTAATAAAATTACTCACAATTTTTTTTTCTATTCATACCATACAATGAATTACACCTAAGTTTATTGATATTTAACTTTGTTTTCTACTTAGGGCAAACAAATATTTGAAAATATTTTAAGAACACAAATATTGACAAATGTCATTATCTACCATTATATAGTAAAATATTTAATAATTGAATAAAATAAACACTTATTTAAAACTTCAGAAATTACTAAAATATAAGAATAAATCAAAGTTATGTGACTGTGTGTTGGAGTTTAGACTTAAATCTGGCTGTGCAGCTTGATTTGAAGGTTTAAATTATTCTTTAAGAATGCTGTACTTTGGGGGTCACAGTCCTTCAGCCTTGGCACCAGGTCACACACACACAACTGTAGGCAGAAAATCACTTTAACACCTAGCAGAATAACTCAGGTTGATCAACCAAATCACTGATTACACGACCACCTCTGGTTATCACAGTGAATGCCTAGAGTGAAAACCATTGAACTCTAAGTGATCACCAATCACTATTAAGTAAAATAAATGACCAACATAAATAACCATTGACTCTTATGAACAAATGTATCTTGTTAAAGTTAATGTCACAGAGCTGGCATGTGGACAAGGGAGAATCAGGAAGGAAGCTACTCTCCACCCCTCACTGTGAGCCAGCAGGCACACAGGCAGGAGAGAAGAACACACAGGACCCACCCCAACCCATCCCTGCATAAGCAACCAGCTGATTAAGAGGAAGTGTATTACTTGATTGACTTTGCAAGCCTAAAGCCAATAGCAACTATTTAGAGCACAACAATATGCACTATAGTAACTATTGTAGATTTCCTACTTCCTTATCATTGTTTTACTTAGTTTTATTGTTCTATTTTGTTCCTTTTAAAATAAAATTAAAAAAATATATATTCTTTGGAAAAAATTAATGTCATAAAGAAGACATTGCAAGAAAATGGACTAGAGACAAATAAATTACAAATCCATTTAAAATACACATATATAAGCATATAACACATACACATCTAATTGATATATGTTGGTTGCACAAATGAACATAGACATTTATATATACTTGTATACAAGTTATGTATTTAAATATATGTTAATATACATATATAAATACATAAAAATATTACATAAATTAAATTGTTTAACATAATTCTTTCTTTTCATCTTAAAGCATCTGAGACCAAGACCAGAATGCTCTCCCTTGTTCTGTCTACAGAATTTCTTTTGCAACCATTATTACTAAATTTCAATCAACTTGGTGTTTCTTCTTTAAAAAATTTTTCCTGTTTCAGAAGAAATTCACAGAATATGAATAAGGTGATATTGACTGATTTTAAAAATTAAAGTATTGCATTCTATGAAACTCGCAGAATGTGTGTTTATATAGTAATGCTCAGATAGATGGAGTTCCAAAGATGCACACTAGAAAGATATGGAAACATGTCACCACTATGAG